TTGGGAAAAGCGCGGAGCCGCCGGAGCCGGGCCGTGACCGGGCAGCGCCCTCAGGGCCACAGTGACCAGTTTAGTCAAACACCTCCCGGGACCGTGACCCCTCCACTTCCCGGGGCAACCCATTCCGACGTCTAATCAGCTATTCTCTGAAAAATTGCCTGACGTCCCCCCTAAACCTCTCCTGGCGCAGTTTAGGACCGTTTCCTCTCGTCCTGTCGCTGGTTTCCTGGGAGAAAAGACTGATCCGCACCTGGCTACAACCACCTTTCACGGAGTTGTAGAAAGCTATACCCTTGGTATAGATCCCCCTTGGCTCTCCTTTTCTCCAGGCTGAACACACAGAGCTGCTCCTGCTGCTCCAGATCCAGGTGCCCCAGCTCTGCTGCCTTCTCTGGACCCACTGCAGCCCCTCAAAGTCCTTCTGGAGGGGCCCAGAACTGGACACAGCACTGGACACAGCCGTGAGGTTGTGGCTGAACCACTGAGTACCACAGGACAGTCCCTGCCCTGGTCCTGCTGGTCACACTGTTCCTGACACAATCCGGGCCTCCTTGCCCATCTGGGCACACGCTGGCTCAAATGGCAGGATGGCAGCGGGCCTGTCCAATGCGCGCTTCGGCCCCTCGCGTCCCTCAAGTTCCCCTAAAGCCCAATCTCATGAAAACCTCTGCCAGCCATAAAGAGGTGTGTTCCTGCTGCAGCCCCTTGTCCCCCATCCCACACGCTTCTCATGCCTTCAGCTTTGCCCTGCCCTGTCCAGGGATGTTGGAGCATTTGGTATTATCCAGGGCTATCAGGGAGTTTTGCAGCCTGAAGGACTAATGGCCTTTAATCAGAATTCCCAGTTCTCTTGAGTGGGGTGCACAAGACCTGTCTTAGCCAATGCATAACCATAGGGAAGGGTCAGAGGAAAAAAGGCATTTTCCTTTCAAATCCTTTCTCCTTCCTCACGCATTATCACAGAAGTCACAGATACAAGGACAATTGGAAACTTCAAGCTGACTTGATTTTTCATTGAGAGCTGTAGCGATAGTCCAAGGTGTAATGGGTATGAATTAAAAGAAGAAAAATTTAGGATAGACATTAAGACGAAAGTTTTCACTGTGAGGGTGGTGAGGCACTCAAACAGGTTCCCCAGGGAGGTTGTGGCTGCCCCAACCCTGTCAGTGTTCAAAGCCAGGTTGGATGGGGCTCTGAGCAACCTGGTGTAGTGGGAGGTGTCCCATGGTAGGGCAGGTTGGGACTAGATGATCTTTAAGGTCCATACCTTAACATTCTGTGATTGTACGATTTTTACTAAATAAAGAAATAATTGCTAAATTGGAAATGTGTAACAATGTTAGCCCGTCTGAAACTGGGACATTTCCTACCCCATCCCTTGTGGGAATTAAAAACAGGCTCCAGGACACAACCGAGATGAGCTTGTGAGCCTGTTGGCATCTGCCATGCTGCAATTTCCCACCAGCTTCACCTGCTGGGGCTCAGCCTTTGCATGAACCTCATTTGTTCATGTCTTAAGCCCTTGGAAGCCTTTCTATTGTTTGCAAAGGGGTTTGGATTAGACCACAACAGTATTGCACAGGAATTTTCCTAAGCAATGCCCCAGCTAACAAAGCCAGAAATGTTGCCAGATTGCTAAAGGATTGTATTACAAAATCCATGGACATGGACAAAGTGCTTGCTTTAATCACATGCTGAAAGGCGTAACTCTGACCTAGTGAGTCTCCCCACACCAAATAATAATAGAGGTCAGGGTTTAAAATGTGAAAACGTTTGAAGATGGCTGAATCACAGTGATTTGGACTTGCCTGAATCATTTTACTCCTCAACTAAGTATAAAGTTGCTGAATGCAAATAACAGTATTTGATTTGAAATTAAAAACAATGTAAATCAAGCACATCAGAGTACTCGATAATTTCCAGTAATCCACATGAAAATATTAATTTATATGAGGTCTAATTTCAAGAAATGAACAACTCAAAGCACTATTTATGGAAATGGAATTCCCTGACCTCCCAAAGCCCTTTCAACTTCATTTAATATTCTCATCTGTAAAGAGGATCTTAAGTCTATTTTTGAAGTACAGGCTTCAGGATCAGAGGGTATGCTGTAGTACATATTTATATTTCTTTAAGGACATGTGGATTAAATGGAACCCAGTAAATGGATTTTCAGGTTTAAATGCATTTACTGGCATATTTTACAGATGTTATTTGGGCATGTAAGTACAGTCACGGATATCTGCAAATTACTTTGTGCATGAACACTTCCAGAAAAGAAGTTGCAAACATTCCAGAAATCCTAGTAGGGTGTATCACATCAAATGAGTATGTTTTTCACAAGTTTTTCAGAAAACTTATTTATGTTAGGACTCCTACTTTTGATTTCAGTTCAATTAAAAAAAAAAAGGTAAATCTAAACTGGATTATCAGGCACATGGGATGCAGGATGATGACATCTACTGGATATATTTCATTTTGCAATTTGTACTACCTAGATTCAAATGTGGAATAATAAACCAAATTCAGCATTGTTACACAAGCAAATCTCTACTGAATTCACTTCAGACATAGACACAAGTGCAGGAAAATTTGGCATATCTTTTTGAGAGTAAATTGCAGTCTCAACTTCTTTGTATATTTTGGGGGCTACATACTGTTCCCAGTACATTTCTATTAATACACACAAAAAAAGTTTCCATGGTTGAGTAATTCTTCTACTTTTCATTCATAAGTAACCTACAAATTAAGAAGAAAGCTGCTTTATTTGTCTGTATAGATGAATTGTTAAGGGAAAACAGTCCTGGCTCCAGATAAAGGTTGTTCACCAGAGTATTGCTGGGACTGGGTGTACTTGCCCTGGTATCAGGTGTCAGGCCCACACCCAGGACACGGCAGCATAAAAAAGGACAGGCCCTAGAGAACTGTTTTATAATAAATAAGGATGTAATATTCAAAATATTTTCAGAATAACCTAATATACCTCCTGTATGAGGCTGAGTCAGACAGATGCAGATCAGTCTATTTCCATAACAAGTCACTGGAATTCTTTGATGTTCTTTACAGTATGTGGCAGAAGGCTGGCCTTTACTCTGTTGTGTAAAAACTATTTTTGATGTATTTTTGATAGTTTGGAGTGGTCAAAATTCATATTATTTTTTTCAAAAACTGTTAATATTTTTCCATCTGATAATTTTAGAAAAAGAGGAACTGCATAAGTACAAATTATCAGCTGTATTACTCACATGCCTTGAATTAACTGGACATAAGGGAATTTTTATTATCTTCTGGAATGGTAGAACAGTCTGTTTTCTTTATCAGTCTGCTGAGACCATGCTTAGAGGCTGTGCCTATATATTATGACCAAATTTAAACCCACTTTTTAGCAAAACAACTTTAGATTTCTTGAAACTCCCCCATTTACTTAAATGCTCTCATGACCCTTTGAGGCAAAGGCTTTATTGGATTAATGCAAGTGCTCACATCAGATAGCAATGTGAGCACTTGTGAAAAAATCACATAGTCTTGCAAAAATCACATTTTTATAATTAAAAATGAATAAAAATGTAGGGAAGGTTTTAAGATTAGGTCTGGGTTTTTTTTTCTGAACTACAAGATCTTGAAAAACTAAATGCACATAATACATTTGCCTTGAAACACCCTGTGTACATTTAGCATGATTCAGTAACAGTAATTTTTGTAAGAATGAAAACAGTTGTCTCCTAAGAAAAACAGTGAAAACACACATGTCAAAATTGTGTTTTAGTTTGCAATGCATGTAGCAATCCATTAACTATTCCCAAATTTCATTTTTCCTTTCCAGAGACCTTTTGCAGTGGATTCCCTGATATCCTATTGCATTCCTCATATAAGAATAAAGCTCTGTACAATGTATCTTTCTTTTTGTTGTAGCAGTTTTTCATAATGATCACTAAGGATCTGTACAATCTGTATTTTGGACTGAAACAAAAACCAAAGACTCATGAAAGGAACCTAATGTTTTTCTTCTCCTGGGATGATCTTACATTAAATAGACTGATCTGCATTTTTAAAAAGCCAAATATCAATGTTTTATTAATGTGGGCTTTGGTGGCTTGAGCAGGCAGCTGTGCCCTGGTGAAGCAGCTTTGTGCTTCCTGCAGAGAACAGCCTGTGGCCCAGCCCTGCCTGGCTGCAGCAGCAGCCTGGAGCTGTTGATATTATTATTATTATTAAAGACACCAGTAGTCTTTATCCAAGAGTAGTTTATATCTGTGTCTTCTGAAGAGAAAAAAGCAAATCAAAATAACATTTTAAAAGCTAATTTAATTAATTTAAGGTAAAACCTGTAAATATAGTGATTGACCTAGGGATCTTCTGGATATATTAAAAATTTCCCTACAAAAATTAATGTGGTTGAGATTTGTTATTAAGTTTTGGTTTTACTCCTTCTCTACAGCTAAATCCCATGGGCTTAGATAGCATGTCTTAAAAGGTGCAAACAAAGCAGAAAGATATTTACTTATAATTAACATGTAGCAAACCAAATTGTAATAACTTGTTTGTGTGAAGGATTGATTTTGATTTCTCATCTTAATGATGTGACAGTGTCTGTAACATGAGCACTGCATCAGGCAGTCTTCAACACATGGAACTGTTGGAGCAAGTCCGGAGGAGGCCACCAAGATGATCCAAAGGATGGAGCACGTCTCCTATGAGGAAAGCTTGAGGGAGTTTGTTTTGTTCAGTCTGGAAAAGAGAAGGTTTTGGGGTGGCCTGATTGTGGCTTTCCAGTACTTGAAGGGAATTACAGAAAAGATGGAGAGGGTCTTCTTGAAAGGGCATCCAGTGACAGGACAAAGGGGAATGGCTTCAATCTGAAAGATGATAGGTTTAGATTAGATAGCAGGAAGAAATTCTCTGCTATGAGGGTGGTGAGGCACTGGCACAGGTTGCCCAGAGAAATTGTGGATGCCCTGTCCCTGGAAGTGTTTAAGGCAATGTTGGCTGGGGGTCTGAGCAACCTGGTCTAGTGAAGGGTATCCCTGTCTGCAGCAGGGGGATTGGAATTTGTGTGAGCTTTAAAGGTCCCTTCCAACTCAGGCCATTCTGTGATTGCATGGTTCTATGACTCTGTTCCCCTTAGTGGAGCATGGTGTTATTATGCGTTATTATTTGAAGGGAATGCTTACTTGAAAAGTTTGAAGCGCCCAAAGATTTTTCTGTCTTGACAAAGCAAGGCAAGTGCTGGAGAGTCAAAGCACATGGACAAGCCTTGGGTCATCTCTGGCAGGAGACAAGAATAACCTACAAGTGCATCATCTGTATGAGGAGAACTTCTTAATTCTGTAATTTTCCCATTGTCCTTTAATGACAAATTTTTCATTTTCTTTAAAATAAATGATTGCTAAGAAATGTGTTAGACCTTGCTGGTCATGGCTTTACAGTTTTCTACTGAACAAAACCATGCAGATAAAAAGCCTTTGGTCTTTGCCTTCTGTGAAAATAAAAAGGGGCTAAGAGAACAAAGTATATTAATAGTTGCCCGTTGGCCCAATTGTCTCATTTGCTATCTCTGGCCAGCATGCTTAGCGAGGAAACAAGAAAGAGGGACACAAGGGATGTGTCTCAGGACTGCAGCCCCCTTCCTGCATCTCTCCTGCTGTGGAAGGAATGTACTGGTGGACAGCTCCATGTGGCTGCCAGCCAGGGCCCTGGCCAGCTCCTGCCCGAGGCACCATGCCCAGGGCAGCCCTCCCCTCTGGCTTCCTCAGCTCCACATCCCCTCTCTGCCGGGGCTGTGGGAAATGCACCACTTAAGATCGCTTCTCCCGGATCTCTCCTGATCCTCGCTGCTGTTGTTTTGTTTTCCAAGCACTACATGGAGAAATGTCTGTCTTTTCCACGTCTCCACTCACATATTGCAGCTCCTGCTGCAGCGATCTGCCTTCTTTCCCAGAGCTGCTGACCCTGTATTCCAGACCTGATCTGAAGACATAACTAAGTAAGCAGAAACCAAAAGAATTAATAAAGATCCTTTTCTTTTTTTCATTATTGCCATATAATCCTTTGTCTCCTGCCATTGTTTTTGAGTGTTTGAGTGCATCTTGCTTGAGACAGGCAGTATTATGAGCTTGCCTGTTGTGTATCATCCCCTTTCTTAGTGGTTTTCCCAGCCCCCTAATCCTGTTATTAATCCACAGTGAAAAAAACAGTACAAATTGCATACTCAATAAAAACAGGTCTAGAATGTCAAAATAGTAAAATATATTAAATATATATAAATATATATATAAATATATTAAAATATATATTAAAATAATATAATATATTAAAAGTATCTCAGACCAGATGCTAGAAAATTGTCCTAAGAATTAATATTAATTTTATTTCTAATATTTCTGTATTTTAATATTAGTTTAGTTAATTAGTTAGGTTCTGTTCTGTAGCTGTTCCTGGCTATTTCTTCTTGTAATAAAGGTTCAGTATCTATTTGTTCAAAGGAAAATGTCTCTGCTAAAACAGGCAGGAAGCTGCAACACTCTGACAGCTGGTGCAGCACATTTTTTCAATTGCCAGACAACAGCTCAGAAATGGTGTGCCTGAGAGGGAGAAATTGAAATGATTGTGATACTTTGTGTGGAGCACATGAAAAAGCACATGCTGCCCTCACAGCAGTTTTTCTGACCTCAGCCATGCTTTGTGTTAGGCAGCTGTAAATGTAAGAAATAAAATGCAGATCTAGTGTTTATTTTTAGACTAATTAATGAAAATTTTCCCTGTGAAACAACAAATTAAATAACAGCTGTACATATAGAACCTTTCACTATATGTTGTTTTTTGTAGCTAAGGAGATGAATTATGCATTGCACTCAGTATTTTTTCCCCTTACAAGGTGATGCGTGGCTGCATGTGGGGCATTTGTATCACTGAAAGGCAAGATCTGCCTATTCTAATTCAATATTTGCTCAGATATTTAGTAACATCTGGAATGCATTTACAGAACTCCTGATTTACAAAGCAAAGTAACAGAGGGCAAGGCACGTTCCTTGAGTTTGGGGCTCAATATTCATTTTACCATTTGTGCTATTTGTTTTGTGAAAGACAGAAGCGGAGAGAATCAGAATTTTACTGGAAACTGGCCATGTCACAGCAGAAAATGTGGTCTTCCTGAAAAACCCTGCCTTGTAAAGGAAGTGTTGTTTGTGAAACACCAGTCTCCCTGTCACCCCTGAGCTGAGCCTTGCTGCCAGGCCTTGCCTCTGCCTTGAGCTTCACGCTGCAATTCCCAGTCTCACTGAACTCCACTGGCAGTACAAAGCCTCAGTGGAAAAAATTCACAGTGGAAAACCTCAACTTTCTGAAGTCACATAGGGCACAACCCTGCCCCTAGATCCCCTGTCCTCTGCCTACACAATTGCAAACAGGAACTGGTTGCTAATCTGTGGGCTACTAAATTTAGCTGGTGACTGATAGCTGAAAACAGCTCACAGTCAGGATTGTACTGCTGGTCACCAGCACCTGTAGCTAGATAACACCAGCTAGCTGATACAAAACTAGGTGAAAATAATTGACTGTGTCAGCAGCTCTCTATAGTAGCACTGAAATAATAATAATAGTAACAATAACAATAATAACTATTATTATTGTTATTGTAATTGTGCCTACATACTGAAAAGAATATTTTTTATACTTTTTACTGAAATTATGCATCTCTCAGGATGATTTCAGTCTTCAGAAGAGTTGATCTGGGAGATACATGTTCACAGACAACATGAGTGAGACAAAAGTAGAAAGAATGCAGAATTATACAGGAAACTAGATCTGCCATGGCAGAAGATGTGATTTTCCTGAAAGATCCTCCCTGGCTGAGGAGGATATCAAGGTGAATATCAAACTCTAGTACTGGCTTTAATTACAGCCACATCAAATATTTATGTTGGAACCTAATACCATATGGACTTTGTTCAGCCTCACCTTCCACTGCAAGGTTAGTGTTTAATAACTATTTATAAAAACTGTAATTCCAGTTTTGATCAACACTAGATTCCTATAAAGGCCACTGAAACATGTGGTTTAAATGTAAAAGCAGCATAATAATACAGGCTTTAAGCCAAATGTTTATTTTGAATAAATGAATTTTGGGATATTTGCAGGTATGAAGACAGAAACAAAAACTCATGAAAATCTTTGTGAATCAAGAAAGATGAATTTTGCACAGTTTGAAAGCTAAATTCTTCTTGATAGGGGAACTTCCCAAAGCAAAATTTCACTTCAAACTGCTTCCTTGGGTTGTTGTGTTAACAGCTGGGAAAGCCTGGGTGGTATAGACACTTGAGAGTGCATTTCCAGCCAGCCCTGTGATGCTTGGTGGCCTGGCCAGAAGATGGCAAGCTTGTTTTGTGGGAGAAGAGAACCGTGCCAGGCAGACAGGTGTTCTGGTGGTGTAAGAATCAAAAACTTCACAGTCAAGATTACAAATGCTAACATTATTTACACGATCCTTATAGTGCTTGAGATAAGGAAAGAGACAAAACCTTTGATAATTTACAGCTGCACATGCACGGGGGGAGGGAGGAAGCACTTGAGGAGGCAAATCCCTCCAATCCCACTGACATGGGATGTGTTCCAGAGGAATGCAGCAGGTGCCAGCCTTGCACCTCTGCTGGCCCACATTTAGTGTCTGTCTCTGTAAGAGCAGTTCTTGAACAGCCACGGAAGATCACACACAGGTAACAAATAGTACCCAGCATCTTCTTCCAGATCTGGGCTTTCTGACCCAGCACCCACCCTCACAATGGGCAGGAGATGTCTTTTCATGCCTTATGAAGTGACAGTGAATTACAATCTTCAGTTAATTATTTGCTTTGTTCTGCTATTTCTTTATTTCCTTCCATACCTTTGGCATGGGGAGGAGCAAGGACAGGCATGCAGTGAATTTAGATACTGCTTTACAGCCTGGCACTTCTCTCTCTCAGCTATCAAAGACTGGCAGTTCCTGATTGCTTTCCAGAATGGCACACAGTCCTTTTACTTCCTTAGAAGTAGAATAATTCTGTCTAGTGTTCCAGCCACTGGTAACTGAATAAAGCTCTTTGTTTATCAACTCATTTTTGAGTTGGCTGGAAGTGCAGATTGGAGAAAGCAAAATGCCTGCTTCCCAGTAGGGCCTGAACATTCAGATTCTGCGAAGCTCCTATTCACTGACCTGGCATTCCCCACTGTGCAAATAGTCTCTGTAGGGAAGACTAAATTGAAGGGATACATTTACCCCTTAGGGCAAAATGTCGTGATGCTCATAATGCCTCTGAACTTACCGGAGATCATGTCATAGTTTTGGACCATGACTACAAGAAGTGTGACTTTCTAGACGAGGGAGCTTTAGTGTAGCTGTAAGATACTCTGCTCTAGTAGAAATCTGAATTGCTGACACTGATTTTCATTTGTAGCCTTTAGCTGATCTATCAGATATCCTGGGCACAGGTCCCTGGTTCCCCTAAGGATGAGGACAGAGGTCTTGAACTTAATTACACTTTGTAATATGAACTGTCAGAGGGAGCAAAGGACTGGGCTGTGAAGAGATTAGGCAGTATTACATAGACTTTTGTCAAAGGTTTTAGGCCAGATATGTTGTATCACTGTGATTCAGCTGATTCAAAGGTACAAAATGTTTCCCACTGCTGTGGACTGTTTTAGGGGAGCTGTTGGGGGCCTCAGACAACATTTTAGTCCACAGAAGTGGCTCAACATGATGGCTCAGATGGGTGGGGTTTGAGTGTTGATAATGCTTGAATTGGATTCCTCAGACAAGGTCATGAAGGGCTACATTTATTTATGGACCAGAGAGACAACGGATCCTCTGTAAAATGTTCAGTTTTCTGTCATTGCACAGGGCGGGCTCAAACACTAATGCTGTCCAAACACTTCAGTCACTTTGGACACAGATGGACTCAATGATCCAACCTTTACAATTCTATGATTCTATGACTTTGCTTGCAGTGGAGCTAAGGAGTGGAACAGAATTTTTGGAAAAGGTTGATGCAAACAAAATAGAACATACCACAAAGAGGAGAAATGCTTTTTTTTCCCATGCATTTTCACTATGGTTGACTTTTGCTAAGATAATTTTCATATGCATGTTCTGAGCAGCTAGGAATGTCAAGAACAAGGAATTAAACAGAAATTTCAGATGTTTCAGTGATCAAAAGTGTGTGTGGAAATGATACAGGATGGAGAGATTTCTTCTGCTAATTTGAAAATACTGTAGCTTTTCCAGAAATTTCAAATATTCCTGACAAGGATGATGTTATAGTGAGGTTGAGGAAGAAGAAGTTATCCTCTCATCTCCATTTTTTAATTTAAGATAAGATGTATTTCTTCTAGTTGAAAGCATTGTAGCCTTCAAAAGAAAACATATCCATACACCAGTCGATTTTTTGAGGATAAAATGACCAGATCACGTTTCTGCATTCCTTCTGAGGGCAGAAAAAAAGTGGATGGCATAATATGCACCAAAAGATTATTATTCAATTAAGTATTACAGAAGTCTTTCCATCTCCAAAGGCAACTCAACACAGTGATGAGCTTCCTAGTAAGATGTGGAAATTCTACTATTGATGGGTTTTATAACAGGAGGACAGAGAAGTATCTATGAGGATTTATTTTTATGCCTCCTATCAGTGTATTGATTTACAGAACATTCATAATTAATTTCTATATAGTAAATGATGGAGTGTTTCCAATGTTTGTATTGTGCCTCTGTGATGTGCTCTGTTCTGCTCTGTTCTGTTCTATTCTATTCTGTTTAGCTGCACAGTATCTCTTCAAGGTGCATTGAACTTTGAAAGGCATCATGCTGGGAAAAAAAAATCTAGAAGGAAAAAATACTTCTCTTCTACTGGCTTGGCAGTTCTTCTGTCCAGCTCAGTGTTTCCACACAAGCCATGTGCCAGGACTGCTTTTGAAGAAATGTTCATGGAATTTCACCTTTAGTTTTCCCCAGTCTGTCATGACAATTCTTACAAAAGGATTTATTTGCACTGTCAGAAAAAAAAAATGGTGCATTCTCCTTTCTGAGAGTCAGATTCTTGGTCCCCACACAGGATCTTATTAAACAGGATTCACTCCTTACAGCTCAGTGCTGGGAGAAACCTTTGCAAAATTGCAGTGGATGATTCCCAGATGTTTTGGCCAGGCTGTCCAGAGTGCTACTGTAAGTCATTCTGCTCACCCATCTCTGAAATCCTACGAAGAAGAGATAATGTGGAGGGCTCACAGTGGCTTTAGCAGGATTTGGATCAGGCCATCTGGCTAAATTTTCTTGATCTGTTTGAACCAATGGACTTCTGTGTCGCTGGTGAAATGGGTGGTCCCTGGTTTAATCCTTGTCCTCCCTTCATCCCATCATGGAGCTTTATGTGGCTTCACAATGAACCAGACTATGGAGTGAGCATCTTTTCCCAGCCCCAGATTAGTTCCCTGATTTGCATTATCCCATGAACATGCGATTGCAATTCTGGCCTGAGGAAGCAGATGGGATCACACACAAAAGCAGGGATAAAGACAGATCCAACTGTTCCAGATCCACTGCATTGAATATGAGCGAACATCCTTTGAAGACCTGTTTATACCCTTTTTCATTATCAGTGTCCCAAAACCTTGCAGTTCACATATGGCAAAGACTGTAACTATAGGTGCAAGGAGTTTTAGTAGCTTTTCCATTATCTTTCCTTGACTGAAAGGACTATCTCTTGGGAGTCAGAATTGGCCTTTTGAAAAAAGACATTATCTAAATAAATTCAAAACAAAACAATACAAAACCCCAAAACAAAAAAAACCCAAACCAAAACAAAAAACCCAACCAAACAAAAAACTGCAAAAAACCCCAAACAAACAAAAAAAACCTGCCAAAAACAAACAACTCTGAAAACTCCCAGTAATCCCTTTTGGTGAGGCTCTTCACAGGAAGAATACGTGTCATATTGTCAGACTGGCTCATACACCTAACCAAACAGGCCTGTGCTAATTGTGGGAGGGAGGAGAAAGCAATGGAAAGAGCTTAGTACATTAGACCTCAGAGTAATGCTTCTGACTATCCAGGGCTAAGTGGTCCATCCCATTATTCTCTCTCTTGCTGCAGATTTTTGTAGCACTTTGTTTTTTGGTTTTTTTTCCCCTAAGCCATTTTAAAAATAGAAACTGTCATAACAGGAATGCTTTTCTTCTTGTGTTGGAAGACAACAAATTACAAATGTGCCACTGGAAAATGATGCATAGGTATGTGTGTTTATGAACTTCATATTTTTCAAAGCAAAATTAGTCTCAAGAAAAAAACCAAAATAATTCTGGTTGTTGCCCAAAGTCAGTTATACAGGGACCACTTATAGCGTTGGTATCATTCCATCTTTGTTAAATGTTCTTAGAGACATTTTGAACCACCCATTCCTGTTCCCACCAAGTCATGTTGCCAGATCCAATCAATATTTCATTTCTGTCTGGATTTTTGTCTCAGCAACCAGCCTAATACACTGGTTTTACCTTTTCTTCTTCTAGATTTTGTGTATTGAAGTAACATCCAGGATTTATATGATGGAATAACATTTAGCCATTAGAACAATTTGTCAGCTATTCTCAGATTTTTGAGCTCAGTGGAATGAAGAAAACCAGCTGAGTCTGTGACAAATGAGGAACGTTTTTCCAGAATCAGCATTATTTTTGTCTAATGACACAAAAATCAAGCAGAGCTGTCTAAATCTAAATATTTTTCTTCAACTCTTAAGAGAAAAATGATTAGGACTACAGCCATTTACCTCGTTTCTTCTACTGTAACAGCTGGCATTGCATTAATAACAGTGATTTGTATAAATTCCAGCAATACTGTGGCATGTACTGCATGGTCTGCAATCAGTGCAAATTCACATTACTTAAGCAAGATACAAATATGTGCATAACAGAAGCTGTTTTTCTTACCTGTGGCAGTTCTGAGCCCTCAACGCTTGTGCTGTCGAATGGAAACTCCACAGTTTTCAACAGTTTTCAACAGTTTTCTCCCACTACAAGCCCTCTTTCTCTTGTTGCATTTGTCATTCCAGTCACTATCAAATATTAACAGCTCTTTTAAAGGAAGGAATAAAAAATATACACGTATTATACCATATAATATAATCAGATTTGAAAGCATTTTCTTTTGTAGCTCCTATATTTCCCTGTGTTCTTTCTCATTATACTTAATATAGCTACACTTTTAAAATATATTGTGTGCAGCATGTCTTTCTGTGAGATCCAAGACGCACATTGTGAGTTCTCTGATGGTTACAGAAGGCAGCAGAGTGGGGAATTACAGGTCACCTAAACCTGGCTGGGATAAAAGTGTTAACCAGTAATGCATAGAGAACATTCCTGGGTTGGACTAGGGGGATTAAAAACCATGAGCTGATTATGCTAATTTTCTTCATCTCCTGATGTCTTTGGATTTCTTCATGGAAGTTCAAAGGAAAATTTCCAGTGATTTGTGTATAGACATATTTCACCCTTAATTTCCCAGAAAGATATCTGCTTTATATGATAAATACAAGATAACTATGAATTTGTTCTCTACTGAGCCAAACACTTTGTTTGCAAGAATTCAGAATACAGCACTAAATGTTGTGTCACACAGACCTGGTTTTAGCTCTAATATACTTTTTAATATACTTTTGCTAGCACCAAATACCTGGCAGCTGTTAACTATGATGTGAGAGCAGCAAAGCGAGTAATTTACTTTCCTTGGCTGCACATTTTCTCATCAGGCTGTTTTCAAACTCATCTAGTTTTCACATTACTTAAGCAATTAACCATATGAAACCTCCTGTTCTCACTTCTCTGTCCCCAGAATGTAATACTCCACCAGACAAGCCCATTAAGTCCCCATTCTGGGACACATTATCACCTCTGCTGCCCTGTACACAGAGAGGTGGTGGGAGCAAGGACCAATTTGCTGTTTTCTAAATGTTCTCCATTTCCATATGTGCTTAGACATCAACAAAGATGGCAAATAAGGAATGAAATAAGCTGAACTGTAACTGGGAAGAGAAAGAAAGCCTCCTTCCTTTCCTATTAGCTGCTTTTTACCATCATCTTCAATGTAAATGTAAAGCTGGAAGATTAGCTTAACCAAGCAGTTAGAGCAAGATATGGGAGACAGCAGATTTTTAGGATTAATTTATCCCATGATGGACTCAAAGCAAATGCTGAGCCTCTCCTAATCACTTTAAGAAGACATAGTCCCATACCCAAGTGCAATGTATGACATCTTGGTCCCTTGAAGTAATGAAAATTTTACAACTGAATTCACTGGGGCAGGATCTTGTGTTAATGGCTCCATTTCTACTGCTTGTTTTGCCTGCTGGAGCCATTTCCAGGATGGCATGTATTTTCTGGGAAGGTGGTTCTCCTGCAGCTCTGATTCTTGCTGGTGCAGTGTGTTTCCATGCCACTTGATGAATGTGAGCCTTCAGAGCCTTGCTCCTCTTCTCCATAGAACAATGGCTGCTCACAGATCTCTGTCAAGGTAGGTTTTGGTTGGACATCAGGAAAAGGCTCTTCACCCAGAGGGTGACTGGGCACTGGAATAGGCTCTCCTTGGTCACAAAACCAATCTTGTCTGAGTTCAAGAAGCCTTTGGACAATACCCTTGGGCACATGGTGGGACTCTTCAGGTTGTCCTGTGCAGGGCCAGGAGCTGGACACAATTCCAGCTCAGGATAATCTATGATTCTAATGCCTCTCATCCATTGTCTCTAACAAGTCTTGTTAACTTGTCAGGTGTTGCAAAACCTGTGATGGCTGAGGATTAGAGAAAACCAAGCTCCTATTGAGGCTTTACTTGCTTTTAAAGCTAAGAAAAGGCATGGGAACATGCCCAGTGGCTCCCAAGTAGGGGTACTGAGGCTGCAAGGCGCTGTCTCCAGCTGCTAATGGGTGCAGGTACAGGCACAGCGCTCTGCAGCCGTGTGGGCTGTGGATGTTGGGGAGAGAAGCACAGGTGAGAGTTGTGTCATGAGCTGTGTCCTCACTGGTCTGTTGAATGGCTTCTGAAGAGCAAAGTCACCTGCCTCCACTGGTCACCTTTAGATATGTCCCACACAAGCATCTGCATCTTCTTAGTCCTTGCCCAGCCTCTTTATCTCATCTACTGCAGGCTTGGACTGGGATAGGAAAGGTCTCCAGCTGGAATGCTCCTTGCTCCTGTTTCTCCAGTGCCCATCCAGGATCAGAACTGGAGTAAAAACTCAGCCTCCTGAGATGACTGAACAGAGAAGGTTGGTCTTTCTCCCCTGTAATACATGTCTGACCTTAACACCGTGGATAAAATTATTACAGAAAATCACCTGACAGCTTCACCCGTGCCACAGATATTATCCACTTTAATGAAACATATTTCAGTTCTTCTGTAGCTTTCCCAGAAACAAGTAGAAACCCCTTTACACAGTGAGAATAAATTTGTATAAAATTCCATGTTTTCATATTGCTTTTAAACCATCTGAGTTGCTTAGACACAAACTTCATTGCTGACAATAGAGAAGAAACAAGCGGGAGAACATCCCACCAATTTATAATTTATAAAACTGAATGTCTATAGCAAAGGCTGAGAAAACTGCTTTTTTCTTTCTCCACAAGGGTGTCCTAAAAACTAATAGAACTATGATAAAAAGTAATAGACTAATTTTTATGTATAACCAAAATTCCTCTTCTGGGATTGAATTCAGCTGAGGTGCTAATGAATTCCTCCATAACATCAAAAATTAAGTCTGAAAAACTGCATTTTAGTGGAATCTTTCTGACTCTGATGGGAGAACATGAAAAATAATTAAAAAAAAAAATCAACAGTGTCAGTCCAAGGTTAAAATATATTCCAGAGCAAGAAAATTCAGAAAGTAGCAAGTCTGAGTCCACCACACAGTACAAAAACTTCAGAGATTCATAATAATTAATCAAATATGCATAAAGTTTTATGATTCCTTTCAGCCTACTATGTAAAGTGATTATTTTAAAATTAAGAATATTTTAAGACAGTTAATGGTAAGGATACCATGTATCTTCACAGGAAAAATATTGACAGTAGGTTTCACTCCCTCTCACCATTTTCCCTCCTCCAGAACTGGCAAAAATAACATTAAATGTCAAGCACAACATCAAAATAATTCAAGGGTGATCTGCTGTTCCAAAAATATTTGTAGCCACATAACCCATCAATTTATATATTAGTGCCTGCTCGTGTGTCTGGCTGACTGTGAATGTAAGCCAAAGCATATTCCTGAATCCAGCTGTTTCTCTTGATGCTGCTGGTCAGAAGTGTGAGTGGAGGGGGTCATCAGAGAAATGCCCTGGTGTGCTAGTGGAGTTGCTTTGTTAAGATTCAATACTGAGGCTTGAATTGTGAGAATGAAAAGACACAAAATAATTGGCAAAGTCAATGAATGCAGGAAGAAAGGGAAAAGGAAGCTAATGGGGCTTCCTGCAAGGCTGTGAAGCTGAGAATGAGAAATGTTATATTAATGAAGTTGATGGCAAAAAGGAAGTGCTCAAAAAAGGAAAAAAACAAGTGACACCCAGTTTAGAAAATGTGGGTGGCAGGAAGAACAGTGACACCATTAGTCACAGATAAAAGAAGTGAGGGGACAGGGATGTTAAGAAAGATACTGAGTTCAAACACTACTGCACTGCGACTATGCAGTTGTGTAAAAACCAGCCAGAGAATGGATCTTCTTGTATGGCAAAGAGAGGTAACTGTCTTCATTCATGAACTTCAGAGATTTTGGAAAAAAAGTTTTCCTATTGCTTACACATGCAAGATGGAGTTAAGTAGGAGGAACAGATGAATCTGGGATAAGGTCAAAGAAAAGTGAGTATCAATAACTTCTACATTATATTGTATTGAAGAATAGAGTAGAATATAGCAGAGTAAAATAGACTATAGACAGTTTTAGTTGGAAGGGACCTACTGTGTTCATCTAGTCTAACTGCCTGACCACTTCAGGGCTGACCAAGAGTTAAGGACTGCTGTTAAGGGCTTTGTCCAGATACCTCTTGGTATACCAATACCTGGGGCATTGGCTACCTCCCTAGGAAGCCTGTTCCAGTGCTTGAACACTTTCTTGGTATAGAAGTGTTTCCTAATATCCAGTCTATTCCTACCATGAGGCAGCTTTGAACCATTCCCATGCACTCTTCCACTGGATCCCAGGGAGAGGAGCTCAGCACCTTCCTCTCCCCTTTTCCTTCTCAGGGAGCTGTTAGGAAGCAATGAGGTTGCCCCTCAGCCTCCACTTCTCCAAACCAGACAAACCCAGGGTCCTCAGCCACTCATCACAGGACATGCCCTCCAGCCCTTCCACCAGATTTTTTGCCCTCCCCTGGATGCATTCAAGAACATTCACATCTTTCTTCACTGGTGGATCCCAGCACTGCACACAGAGCTCCAGCTGAGGCTGCACCAAGGCCGAACACAGCAGGATAATCACCTCTTTTTCGTAGCTGGTCATGCTGAGTGTGTGACTGGCTGGGCTTTGCCCTCTTGGCAGCCAGGGCACACTGCTGGCTCCCTTTGAGCTGCTGCTGACCAGCACCCCTGGATCCCTTTCTTCAGGGCTGATTTCTCAGTCTATACTTGTGCCTGGTTATTCTATCCCAGGTGCAGAATCTTGCATTTGGATATGTTAGTTTCCATCCCACTGCAATTATAGTATATTATATGATATCAATGTATTTTTTTTTGCTGGACAAGATAATCAAATATCTGACTGGTATAGACTAATCTGGTATGATAATTCTCTTGGGATCTAGAAGAAATTTTTTAAATTGATGTAACTGATTTTTCATTGAAATTACTTCTAATTTTGCAAGTGTATCAAGTAATGTAAACTTTCAAGTTTGCTATTTTGAATGATTGCATAAATGTGTAGATGCTTAATGGTCGAATGTTGATTTAATTTGAAATTAAAGAGCAATAGAGAGACAAATTTTGGAAACAAAATTTAAGAAAATTCTGAGCTTGTGTTTCTTTAGCTAGTGAAATACTAGTATCAGCATGTAGAAGCATTTTCTCCTTGTAAAACCATGCAGATTTCTCCCTCATTTGTTGAGGATATGATCTTCTGAGCTTCATGGTCTACAAATAACATCATGTGACTACAGTATAATAACCCAGTGGAAAATTGCTATGATGAGTTAAGAACATACGTTCTTTGTCCCAAAATCTCCCTCATTATTATCACAGGCATAACATAGGACAAATAAAGAAAAGATTTTTTAAGTAAATGGGGAAAAGAAGAGGGGATTTTCCCAACCTTCATCAAAGGGCATGGCAGTGCATGTCACTGTTAGGCATGTTGCACCCTTTTTGTTTGTGTTTGTGAACACGTATTTTCTTTGGACAGGGCTGACAGCTTTTAAGATCTTGATTTTTCTGTGCTGAAAAACACAGAAGGTGCTCCTCCTTTGCCTATATCTGCCTTGCATGGCGTTAATTTTGTGTACTCCACAATGGAACTTCATAAGAGCTCCACATAAGAACTTCAAAAATTAATAAAATCACTAAAACACATTCTTCTCTGTCACCCTTTCCCCTAAGCTAGGCTCTTCGTGAGAGCTGCCCTTTACTGCCTCCAGAAGGAGCTGTGCTGTAACCTGACACACTTTTGAGGAAAGCCTCACTGAGTTGTAGTTGGGGACTTCAGTCTTTCAGTGCCTGAAGATGGGGCTTAGAACTAAATTTGCTACAGGATTCTGAATAACCAGGTGAGAGGGGTGATTTCTGGGTGATTTCAGCAAAGAGGTAGAGATCACATTGCTAATGAGACCACTCTTAGCATACACAGACAATGTCAGCATGACCAGAAAAAATTGTCCTTCTCTAAGGGTGGTGAAAAAGATTTTATGCGAATTGATCATTGTCTTACAAATAAGTTTAATTGGTAAATATATAAAATATATAACTTAATATATATAAATAAGATAAAGGAAGATGTGCATAGTGTAGCAATATTCATTACTAACCTACATAGTTTATATTGATACATAACTTCAATCACAAATAATGGAAATTTTTTTGAAATCTACTCACAACAAGATACTGTATGTGTGCTCAACATCTTTATTTGCTATTACAGAGAGATGATGGAACTCTGTATAGGACTACAGCAAAGCTGAGGCTTCAGGGTAGATATAATTGCTGCTATTAACTTTTTAAAACCTATTTCACACTGGGAAGGTGCTCTGTCAATTTTAAACTCAGTTGGGGGTATTGGATGGACAAAGCTTTAGTGCCTTGGACTCTTTTTACTGAATTTTTAATAGCCATTTTTAGAAGGCTTTAAAGCCAATTCAGGCTGCTTGGCACATGACCTACAGTGGGACTTCAACAGCTTGAAAGCAGGATTAACCTCTCCCAGTCTGGGCTGTATGCCTGTGTGTCAGATCACACAAGTTTAAGTCTGCATCACAGATCACGGTGAAAATCTACAGCTGAGGGCTTTGGCTTCTGCTAGGGCTGGATGGCATTGGACACTGCTGGGTACAGCCCTCAGCTGCAGACAGCAGCTCACCTGCCCCTTGCAGCAGCTGCAGCAGGGAAAGGGCTCTAGGATGCTGCTGGCAAACAGACCACAGCACCCAGCATGGAGAGCAGGAGCTAGCAATGGAGCTGCACAGTAAGCTCCTGACTCAGAAGTGCCACAGCAGAGTATGATGAAAGGGAAGCAAATGAGTCAAGCCTCACATGAAGTGGATGCAAATGGGTAGGTCTTATATCACTGATTCATTGTGTTGTGTTTTCACTGCTTGTAAAATAAAGTGGAAGTACCTTCTTCCAGAGAGAAGTATAAAGTGCTATACAAATATGTTGTCAGAATGGCAGGAGAAAAATTTACCTGTGGCTCCTTGATTGCTGTGTGTTCTTGTCACTACCATTTCATAATGGTTTGGTATCGAGCTTATCGATAGGATGGTCAGTGCCAGACTCCTTTGGCACAAAGCTCTCTTAAATCAGGGCCCTATTCTCTTATTTCCTCGCAGTGTTTGCAGCAGCTGCAGCAATGAGACTGTGAGCATGAGTCTGTGGAGACTCTGAACTAGTAAAGCAAACAAAAAACCACTGCTTTTAATTTAATCCACAGAGAGGATTATGGATTAAATACTCATTAATATGTGTATGTTCTCCCATATTACAGCCTACAGAGTTTTACCTATTTGGCATTAATTCTATACTTCTGTGTAATTGGATCCTTATAGAACATCCTTCTATATACTGAGCCAAGTTTTTCCTCTTTCATTTTATGATTATAAAGGAATCGTACATAGGCTGTATTCTTTTTTCTATTATTATTATTAAGTATGCTATTGAGCAATTCACTTCCTGATTATTTGCTGAGAACACGATGGAAAAAGAGAAGTTTCAGTCAGATCTTCCAAAACAAGACAGAACATGCCCAAAGGTAAACTGCATGCACAAATAGAACTTGAAACAAGTTCTGTAACATACTTTAGGCATAATTTCATATTCTATATAAGAAATGAAGATTTCTAGATAATCTTGGCTGTTTGTGCTTCACTTGCACAGAGTTCTTGTAGGAGCTCATGGAGATTTCATTAGATCTGTCTTAGATCTGTGATTTATTTTAGATTAAATGCACCCAGAAATCCATTAATATGGAAAGTTTCATTATAAAGGCAGTTTGGAAATATGGCACAGTTTGTTCAAAACACTCCTCGAAATCCTAATTTATTCATTTGACTATAAACAATATTTACAAATAGAGACGTAAAGTCAAAATTGGCACATGGCACCAGGCTACTCTTTAAGTACCTCTGACCTTCAAATTGGAGTGCACTTAAATTTCCAGTGTCTCACTTGCTAATCTTATAATGTGCTGAGGACCCCACTAATGTAATTTCATTTGATTGAGGTAAGCAAACCTAAAAGCTATGTGCAAGCAGTTTCAATCACCCTTCCACAGAGTAAAACTCTGATCTGGGCAATCATTAATAGTTTTAATGATTCTCATGATAACAAGTGGGGCTTTTGAGAGCTCAAGTCTAAAGTTTGCACAATAGTTCATTATATTGTTTTTGTTGCTTCATGTAAATTTCTTGTCATTGTGACTATTATAAAAACCTTGAGGACATTGACAGAATGTAGTTTAAAAGCCCCAAATTCCCCAAGAATTATAACAGTGGGAGCATAACCTAAATGGTGTTTTGTAAAGATGAAGCAATACAATGTTGTATGGGAACTTATGACTTAGGTGCATTTATAGTCTCATTTTAATGTGACCAGTGTCTTCCATTTAGTGAATGTAAGCAAGAGCTATAGGGAAGCAGAAAATGAGACAGGATTGGAATAAAAAAACATAGAACTATTTTGATACTAGTTCTCTGAAGCAATTCCCAGTTTACAGATGTGTTTAAAAATTGTTTTTCTGGTATTCTACCCCCAAAATCAAGTATCTGTGTTTATAGCTCTCTGGCCAACCACACTATGGTAATAAAAATACACAATCAGGGAAGTAATAACTTCAAGTTTTTGTGCTGTGGAAAACCAAAGGCAATTTCCACTGTTGGGAAACTAGCATTCTCCTGTTTTGAAACTCTCCACATGCATTTTGTGGTGTCTGACATACACTGTCAATTTAACAAAAAACAATGATTTCTATTACTAGATCTCAGATTGCATATTCTAAAAAATTCATCTCATACCCTGGTTTTATGGGTTATGTGCAATATTAAACCACAAAGTTTCAAATTGCAAGTTCATTTGTTTCTGTGTCTTGGGAAGTATTTACTTAAAATCAAGTATAGTAAGCTCATAGAACTGAAAAGAGGAAGAGGTAATATACACAAAGAACACAAGTGAAGACAGTGCATTTTTGTCATACATTTTGAAGAGTTTGTTCTTTCTTCTCATATAATCACACAATTATCTCACATTGGGAAGGACAGAAATCAGGAAAAATTGTGTTGCAGTGACTGGTATAATCACTGCTGTGTAACTGACCACTTACTTGACTTGTAGCAATATCAAGAGCAAAACTTCTGCTCATGATTCCACTTGTGCTTTTAAGTGGCATTTCAATCTTCAGTTTGGAGGCTGCTTCTCTGGAGGACACCATATCCCCAGTACACTTATAGATGAACATTTGCCTCCATTCCTTAACACTATGTCTAATTACCTATATTTGTCAAACACAATGTGCTTTGGAGCCCTTCATAGCAATAATTTTGTAAACCATTTAAAAATCACATTTCTGAGTGGCAATACAACAGAATGCAATGCTTGGTATCAACAAATTGTTCCTCTGGTGCATACTGCAGACTGTGGGATTTACCTTCTGACACCTCTGGTAGAAAATGCAGGTTCCCTGGTTCTGCACAAATCAGCTGACCAGTTGGGAGTCCATGCATTGAGCTCATGTCCTGTTGTTCCTTGGCTTTGTTTCCTGAAGAGCAAGCATGCTGATGAGCAGGTTTAAAATCCTACCCAGGGTTTGCAGTTGAAAAAGCAGAGTTAATAAAAGTAAAGTAGCATCTGAGGACAAGTAGTATCTATGCTTTAAATGTGGTTTTGAGTAAGCCTACCTGCTAAAGTTTATACATCTAGAAGTTAAGCATTTAAGTCATAGTCATTCCCAGTTCCCTTTGCAGTCTGTGCAGATACCTAGGCACCAGAGGATGGTTAAGCTACTCACTGGACAAGCCTCTAAGCTATGGTTAAGCTACTCACTGGACAAGCCTCTAAGCTAAATCAAGTGAATTAATTGTCTTCCAGAGGTGTCTGCATCCCTCCCTGGCAATACTGGGAGTCCAGACACCTACCCACAGACACCTGCACTTAGATGATACCATGGATATCTGCAAAGTTAGGTGTCTGAATCTGATCTGGTTGCTCTACTCTCTCTTGATAGTCCATGGAAAACCAAAGTTCAGGCAGTAAAGCCCAGAAGGAAAACTGCAGATGAGCCAGACTAAGGAGACTGATAGAAAATATACAAGCATGACACAGGGTCAAAACTGTAAAAATTTGTGTCACTGCTCCAGATCACGTAGGCTGCAGGGAGTAAGAAGTGAGGCAGCACAGAGCTGAAATGCAAGAGACAGATGCCTGGAGATCACTGAGGTTAGGCAATACTGAAGCAGAGTAATAAAATAAAATTAATAGCTTCTTGTATTACACAGCTGTGAAAAAACCAGGCAGGACCAACTCTATCCTTCCTATGGGCAAGCAGTCTTAGACATTGAGTAGCATTGTTGGGGGAAAACATTTTTTAACATAAGAGCTTTATTTCTTGTAGTTGTGCAAGCATATAAAAAGACAGTGGAATAAGGCAAATAAATAAAATAAATAAAATAGAAATAATAAACTTGCAGTTCATTTTGCTGTTAAAACTATACTATAAACTGAATGGGTTATGGAGTGTTACACTGAGCAATAGAAATGCCATAGCTCCACTGAGCCTCTTTACCTCCAGGCACCTAAAAGTTTGGCTCAAATCCTGTTTGTTTATCAAATACAAATATATAAGTAATACACAAATCCCCATAAAGGCAATTTATTCCCTCCCCATCTGTTATTTCTTTTAGAAGAAAAATCTCCTTGAAAAGAATTCCTGTATAGTGTTAAAGTACTTGATGAAAACAGGTCAATAAATCAAAAAACATATTTTCAGTTGTTGTAGCACCTTTTAAGCCCAAATTCCGATTTTGTACATTTATTCATCCCCTATATGTAAAGAAGGTAATTCTAGGACACTTTGCTGTAGCAAAAGAGAAAACTTTGACTTCTTGTTTTTCCTCTTTTGACTGAGAGCAAAAGAGAAAAACAAGAGTACAATAATTGTCTACTGTGTTGGTAATGAATGGACACAAGACTGATCTGTCTTTTGTTTTATTTAAAAAGGTCAGAGCAATGAACAATTCAGCCACTCTTAAGAGTGGCACTGCTCTGAGATAACATGGGTCAATGTATTTCAGCACGACATTGCTCCATGTGTTACAAAGGTGCTGGAAAATTCAAGGTAAATATAAGTAGTTTAAAAGCAAGGTAAATCCTTGGATTTCACAAGTGAGATTCAGTGGCAGCAAGCATTCTCCTTTATTAACAGGACTTGCTTGTGTACTCCAGAAGCATTGGTTCTGACACTGTTCATGTGGCCTGTTGTCTCTCTAGTTCACAAATCTCACCTCTGACAGTGATTTCTACCTGACCTTTGCATGAATGCAAGAAAACCACAGCGGTTAGGTATGGAATAACCTGCTTTCCATAGAAAGTTTCCATAGAAAGGCTCATAACTAGGGTTTGGGTTCACTCCTGACTCATAATGTTCATTCTCTTTTCCAACATTTTCACATTTAATTTTGATAACCATTCCGCTAAATGTCTCATCTTGTTCTGACTCTTCTTTAGCTTCAGAGAAATTTCTTAAGGGCTTAAACAGGACAAATTTAATACCCTGTATCTTGTTTTATAACAATTTTCCCAACAACAGCCCAGGAAAAAAGGGGTGAGGACATTAAGAGAACACAAGTAATGGAGCCAAGACACAGTGTCCAGAACCTTGTATTTCATTGCAATGAATATTGACAGTTTTCTGCCTGTGAGAGTAGAAGAATTCCTTCTCTCAACTCCTTGTCCAGGTCTCCTGGATAAGGCTGTGTATCCAAAATTCGCGAAGGAAACCAGGTTCTCTCTTTATTTTGCTTTAAAAATATGCTAAAATTTGTTACAATTATCATCTAAAGTACTAAAACATCTTAGATACTAACTTGCACAGAATGCATGCTAATATTATTACATACATGCAATAGTCATTCCTTACCTGTAACAGCTGGATATCAGCTTCACTGGGTCATTTGGAATTTAGTGCCAAGGCAAGACTTCTTTCCATGTGCTACTGCTCTGTTCATGCACAGGTACAGCGAGTGCTCTCAGAGACTGCCAGCTCTGAACCCTCAGTAACAGTGAAGCAGCACATCAGGCAGCGCCTTGTACCCAGCCAGCTGCCCCTGACAATTAAGATTGTTTCTTTTGACACAAAATGCTGTTGTTCAGGAAGGAGCTCAGGGTGTTGTACTGCCCCAGACACTGCAAAGCGGTGGCTTTTGGTCATTACTGATTCATTTTACATTTGCATCTGGTTTTCTGGGGGTGAAGAAGTTTCTCTTTATGAACAAATTCTTTGCTTCCTCTCATATGCAATTTGATATTAGGTTGAACACAATACTAGAAACAGTTGGCTGGAGTAACTCATCAGTTTTTACCTGCACAGGAGTCAGTCATGCAAGCATAACATACATATTCCAATTCTTTGCTGTGAGTGACCAGTTACTATAAAAGTTCTCTACCTTGTAACTCTTATCCTTAGGAAATTATTTTCTTTTTCCTAAAGGAAAGAGGAATCAAGACTTTCAAAATTTTGATCCTTATTAATCCATACAGAAATTAAGTGGTTAATTAAAACCAAAACCACCATGACATAAAACATGTTAAAAATGCCATTTGATTTAATGGTGGATTTAGCATCTCTCAGTTACTTGCACATTTGGAGATTATTATGTCTCCGTGGTTATTATGAACTACCTATAGCTTTTTCTTCCCATTGCTGAATGAAATACTAGTGCAAACTATCATCATGATCTTACACACCGTCTGCTTCTGCTTCTTTTCTCATCTTTCTGTGATCATACATCTCCCTATTTTAAATAGATTTATATGTCCTCTCTAAACAATTAAATACATCTTGTAAGCAATAGAACTTTTGATGATCTCACTGAAATAGTGGAAGTAGTCTGAAATTTAAACAGACAGTAATTAAAAATTCATTGCAGGTCTCAGAATGAATTAAGCCAGCAGTTAAATCTGCACAGCATCTATTCAACGGTAAACATCTAAATGTGGATTTTAATATATTCTGAGTATTGATAATTTTTTTGAGGGGATATGCACATGTGACCCTGTTCAGGAAAAAGTTGATTCACTGGTTTAGATGACCCTCAAGCTTCCAGACAATGAGGATATAAATAATCTTACAGTAAGACTTTGAATTTTTTGGTGCCTCACACATGTTTATTTTCTTTTTTAAAACTATCTAAGTGATAGAATCAGTTAATTGATTGGCATCCTAACTTGAATTCATAGAACTCATGTGATTTTTTAAATGGAATTTTCATGAAAGAGTTTAAGCTATGAAATTTTACAATTATTGACAGGGGCCATCACATTATCACGGTGTATAATCATATTTGCTTTTGTATAACAAGACAGCTTCAAATAGCAACTTAGTTATCAAGAATTTAGGGAACAGAGATTGAAAACTGCACTGAAGAGTTCAACACAAGTTGTCATGGTTACTTCTGGAAAAAGAGGGGACCAGCAAGTAGCAACTGGACTGGGGAAAGCCTGCAGAAACCAGCCATGGGTCCTTGTAAAGTAACGGATCAGGCACAGCCAGGCTGAGTATATTAACAGGGTAGTGTGGGTGGAAGACTCCTGGAGTAGAAAGTGAGAGAGCAAAATAAAGTAAGAGGCTGATGAAAATGAAAAACTAGGAAAACAGAGAAATCTGTGATGTCAAACTGCCTTAAAACCTCTGGGGGGATGTAACAAAGCTTTTGTTCATGACCTCCTTCATTGTATGTGTAAACAGGCCGAACAACAGCTTTGGCTGCCCTTTCGGTGGTATTTAATTCCTATCTCCTGTGACTAATTAGCTTTGCTCATTAGAAGTAAACGGGATCAATGGACAACATGGATAATGGTGATGGTGATGTTCTATAAAGGATGAGGGAGCAGCAGTCTCAGACACAGAGACACATTATCAAGATGGGGTCACTATAGATCATCTCATCCATTTTACATGGTGCATGTCTCCTAGGCCTTAACCCAGCTTGTTGTAAGGCTTTGAGACCTTTATCTTTCCTTCCTGCTTCAAAGAAGGGCAATGGTATAATATCCTTGGTGTGATACACCACCCCAGAACTTAGCAGCCAGGTGCTGGGCAAAGGTGCTTTACCAGAGCTGGACAGAAGCTGTTCCTTCCTCACTGTGAGGAAGTATGTCTAAGTACCCCCTGCTGACAGTCACAGCTTTACATTGATGTTGGAGACCCTCTGCACAGCAGAAATTATCAGAGAGAATTTTGGACCACGTAGTCTTTTCTTGGGAGAAATAAAATAGAAAACAGCTAAGTTGGTTCAACAAATGTAAACTGTATATGTTGCTTTCCTTTGACATTCCTGAGAAATATTTTGTAATATTTCTCTTCATACATTCCCCCGACACATTTTAATGCAGTTTACTAACTGAAACAGTTCAGTGCTCCCACCTTACCCAATTTACTAACACACTCATTTATTTGATCTCAGAGGAAGTAGTGATCTTCATCTTTTCCAAGTAGAAAACAAATACTGCAGAACAAAGGGAAAAATTTTCCATTATGTTTAGTGTGAAAAGCTCCAGGACGCATTTGAAGAAATGTTGTGAACCATATATTATAATTGTGGGAGGATTATAGTAAACAGCTATATTTGGGTCTTCAAAGTCTAAAGAAAAACTAAGAGATTGTCTAAGCAGAATTAAGAGCTTGACTAAGATATAATTATTATATGAAGCAGATCCCATCCTGTAGAAAATTACCCTTCAGAAAGTTATTCCAGTTGTTATTATTTTCACTGCTAAAATAAAGCTTTAATTCTGACTAGTTTTGGCTTCAAGATTTGCCATACATCAGTATACCTGAATAGCTGTGACTGTACTGTATAATTTTATTTTGTGCTGAAAATGTTTTATAAAGAAAGTGTCTTAAAGACTATATCTATGTAAAACTCACAAACTCCCAATGAATAAAGTGAATATATTGATCTTTGAAATCTCTTATTAACCAGCATTTTTCCAAATCTTTACTAATTTTCCCAATTTTTTTTAACTATGTGCAATTTATCTTAGACTGAGGACGCTGTAGCTGAATACAATATTCTGAAAGCATTTACCCTGAAAGACAGACTAGACAGAATATGTGTAACTTCACATCTTGTATTTGACAACCTCATGTTTATAATTCAATAAACTCACTATCCCTTTCAGGCACAGTGTTCCAGAGGGAGCTTCTTCACTGGTTTTCTACCACGATCTTCAGGTTTGTTCAAACCTCACATTGTGCCTTCTGCTTCCTGAATTTTAAAAGCATGGAGTAAGTTACATGAGAAAGATGTAAAGAAGAGGAGAAGAAAAGATCTTGACACTGTGTAAGCAATGTTCAGTAGTAACTAAAACATCCCTGTGTTATCAACAGTTTTCAGCACAAATCCCAAACACAGCCCCATACCAGTTACTGTAAAGAACTTTAACTCTGTTCCTGACAAAGCCAGTAGAGTCTAAGCCAAAAATTGTCTTCAAATAATTTATAAGTGTTTATCAATATTATGATGCATGTGATTGTACAAAGCTCTAGAAAGAGGGAAGTGGTGATGGCTGCACTTGATCTCCTCTAAGTTCTTAAGCTGGGAGAGCAACATTTTACACAGAGAGATCATGACAGGAAAAGGGGCAATGCTTTTAAACTTTTAAAACAGGAAAGATTTAGATTAGAAGACAGGAAGGAGCTCTTTACTCAGAGGGTGGTGGGAAACTGGTACAAGTTGCCCAGTGAAATTCTGGATGCCCCATCCCTGGAAGTGTTCAATGCCAGGTTAGATGGGGCCTTGAGCAGCCAGGTCTAGTGAATGACATCCATGCCCATGACATGGGAGTTGGAATGAGATGTCCTTCAGATCCCTTCAACCCGAGATATTCTGTGATTCTATGATGATTATTTTAAGAATAATGCAAATTCTTCTTTTATTCCTAAATGATATTGCTCATTTTTTGCATTATTGCAATAAATAATGGTAATTTAACCTCCTGAACTTGTCTTACACTCATATTTTAGACTGTAGATAGAATTTTGAATTTTAGAAAATAATGTATTTCAGGGTTTCTTTTCTGAGTGAGCATTTGTGTTTCATACTCTGTGGATTCCTCCACATGCCAGCATACAAAGGACTACAGGGTCAGCCCCTAGCTAGGCTAGCAGGACCAGAGGAGCCACTTGTTTTTCAGAAATGTGAGGCAAAACAGAAGTAGTTTGTACTCTCTGGGGCTATTTATCTGCAAGTTACCTATAAGTTTTGAGATGCATAGGTCAAAATATAGTACTTTATATAAAACTTATAAAACTTGTAAAACACAAACTGTGTGTAGTTACAATTTATGTTGTCGATTATCAGACTTTAAATATTGCTCTCACCTTAGCTAACAATATTCACCTTTACACTGGGTAGAGAAATCATCCTTAATAGAAAGTTCCTTCATTAATATTCTATTACTTGACCACAGAAGAATATAATTATTAAATGTTATTATATAAATAATGTTACCCATTATTTATATAGGATGAGGGCTGCAAAGTATTTCCTGCCAATATCCACAAAAATACTTGTCTCTCAGCTCTGCAGTCCCTAGAAGACCTTGCAGAAATTCTCTTAAAGATGGTTGGCATTTTTCTGCTGCTATCTACATAAAGTTCCTTCCAGTTTTTAAGGCTGAACTTGTCTAACTTTCTGTTTAACGATTTCCTTCTAGTTCTGGCAGTTGGTGTATATCTCAATTAGTTTGGTCACTCATAATATAAATAATATTAGGAAAAAATTAGGTTATCAACAAAAACCCTAAGAAAATATGGGGAAACTTCTGCCTTTTTCAGAAGATTGTGAGAAATATGAATTTCAGCAGGTTCTCAAGCTCTGCTGGAGTGTCATGGACTAATGAAAGTTACTGTACACCACCCACTGAACTGAGTTAAATGGACAGTCTGATTACTTAAAGTGTCAGTTCAGCCAATGGTTTCAACTTCCATTTTTCACAAAATAAAAGCTCCAACAAAAAAATATGGAAAAAAACATATTAGGTTATTTAGGTAATTTCCTGTCCTTGCAGAATAGTCCCTCAAATGACATTTTTATTCCAATTTGTTCAATGCAGTTTAAAGCCTTGGAAAGGTGTAAACCACAGGTGATGGCCACAGAAGAATTTACTGTCTGCTAATCCCTGATCTCAATCCTGACACACAAGTAATGACCTTTATATTCAAAACAGTATTGTATATTGTCTACTTAAATAATGTCCTTGCACCTCTCTATTGAGTGAATATTCCTACACAACAAATACCTAAAGGCTATGCTAGAAACTTCCTGCTCATTGTCCTTTGGTGTCTGAAAAGACCTGCAATGTTTTGAGTCCTGTCAAAACACCCCAAGAATAATCCAGATGCAAAAACCTTCTGTAATATCTGTACAGTGTGACATGGGCTGCAGGGGTGGGAAAGATAAAGTCTCTTTTCTTGCCAGAGGCCAGTGTTCCTTCTTTGCTCTGTCTCTATACTCTGGTGCAATTCAGCTGGGTGAACGTAAAATCAAATATAACACATAACACAATCAGAAATATGTCAAATTAAAGTATCAAAGGTTTGGCCTCTGAAAAGTTTGGGTTTTCCTTAATTTTCATGTGGCATTTTTTTCAGGTGTTTGTAGCCCTATTACATGTCCTGCCTTTCCATGTACAAGCATGCTTTTATTCTGTAAAAGCTATCTGGTTACTAAAATTTTAACAGCATTTTTTAATGGATTTATGAATATTGTTGTTACAGTTCTCTGGGATTGAAAGTTTCACTATTTTCCATATTTCCCCCAAAGAACAGCAGAAGATTCCATTTTTTCAACAAAACAATTGGGAAGATAAACACAGTTCTGAACACCATCAAAGGCTTAGTGGCTCTGAATGCAGACAAACAGTATTGAAAAAAGTCTCTCCTCTCATAGGCAGGCTGTATAGAAATAATAATGGGAAAAATGCATTTAAATGAAAATACTAGCCTGTACTCATCTACCTCTGCTATTTCACTAACAGGGTGATAACTAAAATATATATCCAGGCCTGTACAACTTATTTTTTACATTTCTGCACTCACTTTCTGCTCCCTCTGTACTGTACATGTAGTATATGTAAATACCCATAGTTTCGAATGCAGAGTCTAAGTAAGACATCTCTGTTTATCATGAGATCTTTGTCTTTTATACCATATGTTAGCTCTGCAGCCATGGAAATGTAAAGAAAACGCTGCTTTTTCATGCAAAGTTAAAACTTTCGTTTGCCTTCCCCCAAGAAGGCAGCAGATGCCCGTGGCTGAAGAAGGCCTGTGGCAACAGATGCCTGTGGCTGATGTACATCAGTAGGTCTGCTGCCTTTGGTGTCAAAGAGCTAGAGATATAGCAGTGAATTCTGAGTGCCTTCTGAAGTCACCTTCCTATTAAACGAGCTAGGCATAAAATGTGTGATTCCCTTGTGGTTGTCTAAGGTTCTTTGCAGTCTAATTACAATATCTAATACAATTTGAATACAGGGTTTTGACAAAACAGTGAACAATTGCGGATTAACCCACATGGATGGTATTTGTAGTGGTGAAACTGAGACAGGTTTAAAACCAAGCCTGATTTTAAAGCAACCTCTGTTCCCTCAAGACATAAATTGTCCTGAATGTGTTTGATTTTTGTTTGGTTGGGGTTTTGTGGTTTTTTGGTTGTTTTTGTTTGTTTGTTTGTTTGTTTGAAATAACTGTTCCGGGTGTGTCAGGCAGAATACCTCCCAATTAATTTAAAAGAATACAACCGGTAAATGTAAGCGAAGCGTACTAAACCTAAAACTGGATGATGCAACAACACAATACTCTAAGGCAAGGGCCTGGAAAACGGGCGAGACAAGCCAAACCTCATTTCTGTTGCCCTGCTAAGCTGCTGGAGCCTGGCACTGCGTGAAGCCTGTGAGCATTCATACACTGTAACAGCGGCTGTAACAGGAAGGGTTTGGGAGCGGGCGCTGCCCAGGGCCAGCGCCCGGAGGTCGCCAGGAGCCGCCGCCTCACTCCCCTCAGAGCGGCCGGGCGGGCGCCTGCGCGGGGCCGCCCCTCGGGCCCCTCCGTCCCGCCCT